CCGGGGACTGCATCGACGCAGAGGGTACCATTAGCTCAAGAAGTAAGCCTAAACTAGTTTTTTCAGCTCATAACAAAAATCAACCATAACAACCAATTTGATAGGTGTTTGGCAATTTTTATGCACTTTAAGGCTTATCAGCCCATTTTTGGTGCTCCAAACGCCTCCTGAGGCAAAATGAAAACCCTTTTTTCCTAATTCGTGTTCCGACTTTTAATCATTGCACATTCGAGCCCTTCAACTCTGACCTTCATTACTAGCATCACCGCGAAGATTGTGCTTTCTTCATTGATATAGTCTGACAAAGAACATATTTCCTCTTGCCACAAGCTTGTTAATTATTTGTTCTTGGCTTCATTGATGACACCTGATTTGTTCGAGCTGATGAAATTTGTGGATTATAGGAACGTTTCGCACATGTCATGTAGGGATATTCATGATATGTGCTGTTGATTCTCTAAATATAAGGATGCATTTGAACTATAAGAATCACATCAGGTAATTGACAATTTTTTTCTTCTTGTTACTATTCTTTAGGATATTTCTATTGATAAAAATGATTATTATGTTATACTCAAATGACTACTCCATCCGTCCCCTTTTAAATGTCTCATTTTACCATATTGGGATGTCCTTATTTAATTGTCTCATACATTATTTGGTAAAGTTTGTGTGGTTCAAAATCATTCTTACTTTATTCTTACTTTATCAATTAATATCAGCCACACAAATCCACTTTTCTTAAAACTCATGTCACCCTCTTCCGGGACATTTAAAAGGGGACGAAGGGAGTATATACTTAAAAGAAATGAGCACGTGTATGACCCAAAAATGAGTACACAATATATTCCAACAGCAGAGTCACAATGCTCAATAGCATAGACCAAATGCTCAATTCCAATTTTTGAAACTCAATGAAGTTTCAACAGGTCTTGATGTCTTGATACTCAAATAAGATTTTGAACTTTGCAATTGAGTATACAAAATTCTAAGAACTTACGGTTTTCATATTAATACATATAAAGAAATTAATTCGATGTTCAATGAAAATATCTTGATACTCAACTAGTAGAATTTACGATTTTCATAATAATGTATATTACAAAAGTGTAATACTCACTTCATCCCACAATTAAAGTACCAGTTTGACTTTGTGGTCTCCTAAGCGGACGTTTGACCTTAATTATTTATAAATATATATCTATACAATAAATAATAATTTGACATATGAATAATACATATTACAATGAATGTTGGTCCCGTTTAATATGGTAATCAGTCTAGGGGGGGTGAATAGACTGATTGGTTTTTCAAATTTTCTCTAAGTCCAAACTGACTTAACAGAGAAGGTCTGATTCTGGTGACAGAGAAAGGCTGGTTCTGATATCAGAACTGGCCTTGGCAGCGGATTCTGATCTGTCCGGGTAGCCTCAGAAATACTAAGGCAAATGCCTTTCTGATAACTCTGAGAACAAGATCTGCTGAACACAGATTCCAAGTCTTAGAGTTAATCAGTTAATATCCTAGGTGCAGAAATATAAATAGCAGTAAAGTAAATGACACCGGATATTTTATAGTGGTTCAAGGAACAACGCGTTCCTCTAGTCCACTGTTCCACTAGCTTTGAAATAGATCGGTTACAAAGCTTAGTCCCTAGCACTTAAGAAGCACTCCTCGTCTTCTTCAAGCCTAGATGCCACCCAGGATGTAGTTCCACGTCCTGATGGCTGATCCTTTCACTCAGCTTCCCGGAAGTATCACCACTTCACTACTGCAGTTACTTGGACGCCCTTCTTTGCAGAAGATCCTTTGAAAAACACAAAGTTTTTCCTCCAACTAGCTTCGTCACAATTGATGTGTTATGAAGATCTTGAAGTGTTGAAGAACAGGATGAACTTTGCTCGTTGTTGGGGATGAAAGATTTGGAGTTTGAATCTTCCCAACGTAGGACTTTTCTTGTAGAGTGTTATGAAGGTTGAATCTCAAGAAGTATGTTCAGAGTAATGAATGGAGCAAAGGTTATCTTCCTTGTTCTTCTTCGTGTAGCTTATATACTGAGGTTGTCTGCCCGTTGGAGGAGGAGACAACTGCATTAAATGCGCGTACTGTTGACTTGACCGCCGTTTTGGAAGGTTTCTATTTTTATAATATATCTTCCCGGATTCCTTGGTCAATCATTTGCAATCAATCCTTCAGCGTATCAGGCTCATTTAATGTGCATTAAATGCTTTCCTTTCATGCACAGTCTTCTAGCCGTTGGATGTTTTTACCCGTTGGATTCATAGCTGTTGGATGTTGCTTGAAATCTTCTAAGTGTTAGTCGGGCTCTGATCAGGCTCTTCTGATGTGTTGGATTCTGATGGCTTTCTGAGTTCTGATGGCTTTCTGATGAGTTGAGTTCTGATGGCTTTCTGATATCTGACTGAACTCTAACTCTGACTCTGATAGGTCCGCTGATGAGTACCTCTGATCTGTAACTCTCATCGGTTATCAGATGTCCAAATTTATCAGCAACTCTCATGGTGCAACTCTGATGGACTTCTGATAAGACCCAAAGCAGAGCAACTCTGATCGTCGACTACACTAATACTTACAATTGAAAATTCTAATACATAAAATCTAATTGGGGGTACTCTAACTTTCTAATCCTATAGCATCATCAAAATCTAATTACATTTATTCCTTACAATGAAGCACATTAAATAATATTTTGGGATAAATATTGTTAATTTTAAGTAATTAGCGGTCAAAGTTGAACAAGTTTAACTCAAAAGTCAATCTGGGACTTTAATTAAGGGGCAGAGGTAGTATCAAATTATAGTCACATAATGGAATTCATGGATGTTGATTATAGATATAATTTAAAATAAGAAAAGAAAAGTTAATTAGAAGATTTGAAGCGGAAATCACTATGCTCGATTGTAGACCTCTAATACTTAATACAATAAGTCTAATGTTCCATAAGAGTGCATCAAGGGGTGCTATATAAAAATACATAGGGATTTGCAAGTATCTGAGCCATAACTGCAATCGCTGTTTGACAGTTTGTGATTAAATTGCAATATACTTCCATAAGAGTGTGTTCACTGATGCTCAATTAATAAAAACCCAATTTCAACAATTACAAGGATGCTAATAAGCTATATGGGATAGGGGTAGGTAGGTTTGCGTTTTTTGGTTAAAACGGAACCGAGACTAGTTAGGGACCGTCGATTTTTCAACCGTACGTAATCGGAACCGTATAGTCCTTCGGATTTGGTAAAGGTGGTTTACTAGTCCGGTTCGATTTCCCGAAAAATAGGAACCCGAACCGACGGTCCCAATTCGGAGCCGGACGGTTCCAGTTCAGAACCTCTTTTTTTAATTAATGATTTCATAATAATATTGTTAATAATATTAATAATGCTAATAATAATAATAATAGTATTTGTTGTACTAGTAGTAGGAGTAACAGTTATTAGAGTTACTGGTTACTACTCCTTAGTTATAACTATGCTAGTTAATATATATTTTTATTATTAAAATTATTAGTAATAAGTATCCATAATTTATCAGGTATTAGTCCTATTTTTATTAATATAGGTCTCTTCTTCCTATTTTATCCCCAACCTATATAGTTTCAAACAGATTTATTTATTAATAAAAAAAAATCATAGTTTTATTTAAAAAAATCAGGAAAAAAAATTAAAAAAAACAACAACAAAAATTAATAAAATAAAATAAAACACCTAAAAAAAATATTCAAAAATGCCACTTAGTGTAAAAAAAATGGCACAAATGTCATGAAAATGACATATTTACTCTTTCAAAATATTCAGCTCTCTTTTCAAAATTGCATCACGATGTTTCCTCCCAACTTGGCAATCTTTTCTGGCGACCGGAAGTGGCAGTGCTGGAAGGTGGCTGAGTGGTGGTTGAGGTCTGTATATTTTTAACTTATTTTTAATTTTTTTTAGTTTTTTTATTATTTAAAAAATCCTATGAGGAAGGACCAGGATAGGGTAAAATAGGAAGAGTTAATCTTATTTTGGGAATTTAAAAATCTATTATTGCAATTATTCTTTTATTTAGTCTTATATAGGGAAATCTCCCATAATTTATTAATAACTAAATTATTTGTTGTAAAAAATAACTAAATTATTTTAGAATAACAGATTGTAGAATTTTACAATCTAATTTATAACTACTTAGCTATTTGATCAAAGAAAAACTACTTAGCTATTAACTGTTTTATTTTCGTACTTAGTTTTAAAAATTAACAATAACAAATATTTGTTCTTGTAATATTATTTTCAGAACTCTTTTATTAAGAGTTTTTTACATAAATATTATCAATGATGTTTGGGTTAACAAAAAAGTGACTAACTACCATTCACGTAGTGCAACCTAGGAGTAAAAATCTATTATTGCAATTATTCTTTTATTTAGTCTTATATAGGGAAATCTCCCATAATTTATTAATAACCAAATTATTTGTTGTAAAAAATAACTAAATTATTTTAGAATAACAGATTGTAGAATTTTACAATCTAATTTGTAACTACTTAGCTATTTGATCAAAGAAAAACTACTTAGCTATTAACTGTTTTATTTTCGTACTTAGTTTTAAAAATTAACAATAACAAATATTTGTTCTTGTAATATTATTTTCAGAACTCTTTTATTAAGAGTTTTTTACATAAATATTATCAATGATGTTTGGGTTAACAAAAAAGTGACTAACTACCATTCACGTAGTGCAACCTAGGAGTAATTGTAGGGAAACACCTTGTTATTTTAATTGGTAGTCATACTTTTGTTAGAGAGATTCAAATTAGTAATATTTGTGTAATTTTTTCTTTTATTATTAATTTATTTAAAATTACCAAAAAAAAAAATATCAAACTTTAAAATCTAAATAATGGAACCGCAAAACTGATGTGGAACCGAACCGGTTTTATGACCGGTAGTGTGGAACCGTTCCTGTTCTGTTCCAAACCGAAAAACTAAATGGGGGTTGTACCGTACTACCGTATAGACACTCCCTGTCCCCTTCTACTGTTCTACCTCCGCCTGTGCTACACAAATTTCTATCTATTGAAAATTAAGCATGAAACAGAAGCAGGGTGGTGGATGTACCTGTTCTTAATGACTTGAATGTGGTGCTGAGTTTTGTGGGGTTGATTATTCGTAGATCCGGAGTAGTGATGACCTGGAACGTGTTTCGGTTCTGCACGGCCCTCCGCGGGTTGGGCTCAATCATGATTGTGTTGGTCCTTGGGGTTGTCGTCCTCACTTATTACGCCGTTGTCATCATTACTTATGGGCCGTTACTCGCCGGCGGCAGTGGCGCTATCGCTTTCCTCACCTCCGTCGTTGTGCTAGTCTTGTTTCACTTCCTGGTAAACCACACGAGCTTTCTCAATCCATTTTATTTTGGTGCTTTTGTTATATTGACTCTCACAACATGCTGTCGGCTGCCTGATTGACCGAATAGGTTGGTAGTCGTGGAGGGTTATTTGTTGAATTTCAGCTACTTTACACGGCCGTGTGCTGCTTCTGGTCTGATTCCGGACCTGTTAGTTCAGGTCCTGAAGAACTTTAACCGTTGGGTCCAGTGCATCCACTGGTTTAGGTCTGATTCTAGGCCTGGTTTTGGTAGGTTCATGGTCGGAAAATTTGATTTTAATAAAGATGGAATTCAGACATGAACTGACCTATTCATATTCCGGCCATGTACCGTCCAACTGGACAACCCCTACACAGGTTCAGATTCCATATGGGATTTCCCGTTTGATTTTTGGGCAAAAATGATACACCTTAGAGGCTTAGACACCCTGTTCTGGTCTCGAAACCATGTTCAATCCTATAGCTGGACACCAAAACTTGTTCATACTAGTTCGAAATGTAACAAAATACCCATGAAGTTTGTACTTGTAGGCTGTAGCGGCACTTCGTTTGGGAAAGTCGGACTTTCTTTTGTTTTACTTTTAATCTCCAATCCAAAATGGAGTCATTTCAGATTTATTTTAAAAAAACATTGCCAAAAGAGTTTGTTTTCTGCTTAGGTTTAAAAAAATAAAGCCTTTTTCCTCTCAAGCTTAGCAATGTTTCTTCCAACTCGTTTCCACCATGTCTAAGTCTGACCCCTTGCCTAAGAACTAATACCAAGGTTGTTAAAATCGTTTTTTAGATCGAATAGTTATATGGATTTAAAAATCAAATCAGGGAATCGAATTATAAGTCATAATATTTTATTAAATAAATAAATAAATAAGAATTATTTATAAAATTTTGTAAATGAAAACTCTAGTAGTAAGTCAAACTCGGCTCCGAGTTGGTATAGGTATCCTTATCGTTCCGAAAATTAACATTACTCGTAGGGGCCGAGCTGGTATTTTGAGGGATTTCTGTGCGGGAGACACGTGTTCGAATTCTGCTCCATGTGTAATTGCTTTGATTATTTTGTTCTTTCACGTTTGCATTTATTGGTATCAACCCCACACTGGAACGTGAAGCATACTACTCTTCTTGATTTCCCTAAATAATACTGGCCTTGCTACCTTGATATACAACGAATCTCATTGCTTGGATTTGTTCAAAGGCTGACTTTTGTTGGCTATTAGACATCGTGGTCGTTTTAAATCGCAAGCTCACACGATTTTATTACGATTCAAATACTATTGCTCACGGTTATAAAAGAATCTGATTCTTTTAACAATTTGAATCTTTCTGTGATTTAGAGTCGTAGAATCGTGCAATTCAACGATTCAAATCAAGATTGTGATAAGCTTTACTGATCTATTTGTCAGTTCAAAAGCGAGTACTAATACTCTTCACGGGGTCAAAATCAGGATACCTTCCCCCTATGCTCCCCTCCACGTCCTCCGCTGGTGACATCTATAAATTGAAAACCGGATATTTTTAGTAGATGGAATGTCTGGAATATATCTTGTTAAATTTGACATAAAGACCATACATTTTTTGTTTGTTTTTTTTTACTCCAGGGGGTCTGAGAGAAGGGGCCTGGGGGGCCTGAAGTAACCAAGGCTGAAACTCACTCCATTGAGTTTCAAACCCTTATGTGCCTAGCGGGTTTCGAACTCGAGACCTCTCACGGGCACGGTAACCTCACAACCAGCTTTTTAGTATTGAACATAGTAAGATGCGGAAAACAGGGCCTATGAAATTATGTTTTTTCCCAATGATGCACCATTAGTGGGCATTGGATATGTATATTGTATGCAATTAAACTATAACGGTTACTTCTGCAATAACGACAGTTGGTGATGTTACTGTGGAGTTACTTTTCTGTTGTCTTCACGGATCCGGGTGGTGTGCCGCCAAATTGGAAGCCATCTTTGGATGAAGAAAGAGAGGATACTGATCCTTTAACTGCTTCAGAATGCATCTCTTTGCCAGCTGGTGCAGCACATTCAACAATCCGATTCTGTAAAAAGTGCAACCAATTGAAGCCCCCGAGATGCCATCATTGTTCTGTCTGTGAGTTCTTTGTGCTCTACTCAACTATTCTTCATTCCCTTTCCTTCTTCAATTCAAGCTTCAATATTCTTCTGGTTGTTTGTTTGCTTACTCTAGGTGGAAGGTGTGTGTTAAAAATGGACCATCATTGTGTTTGGGTTGTGAATTGTGTTGGAGCTTTGAACTACAAGTATTTCCTTCTCTTCCTGGTACGATTTATTCTTTAGGCTACTTCCTTACATAGATTTCTCCGATATAAGTAAAAATGTACAAGATATTATCTCAACATCAATTGATTGGTCTACATTCAAATGATTGTCTTTTGTGCATGTGTCAAACTGTTAGAGTGTCAGTTACATATTTGCGCATATGTGTATAGTTATGTACTCCCTATCCTATACATAAAAAGTTAATTTCTTACTATACTAAGCAACAACCATTTTTATTCATTTTGAAGGCAGTGTAGAGAAATGTAGGCGTTGACTTAAGTATACACGGTATACTTAATCACTTTGATTTTGTCTTTGAAACATGCAACGATCTATCTTCTTTCTGTACCCATCTACTGCACTCTTTGTCTCGTTTTTATGATACATATACTACATTGGCAAAAATCTTTTTATCTTGTCATATTGAACTGTTTTATAATTTTCAATATTCAGGCTTTTTCTTGTGTTTACTACATCTTGTGGAGATTTGAATATATCTAATTTTTATTCACTAAAACTGAATTGGATATGTTCAAAATTGGGTGCAGTTTGAGTAAGCCTTCCCTTGTAAGCCATGCATACCTATCATTATTTTTGGATGAAGTGATAATGAAACAAGAACGGTACAACAAACAAACAACAACAACATTACCCCAGTGTCGCAAAGGCTCCCACCAACAGTGGGGTAAGGGGGGGTCGGATGTACGCAGCCTTACCCTTGTACTGAAGTACTGCCTCATAACAAAGGACAGACAATTTAGTGAGCCAGTTTTCTTTATTCCATCATATTCCCAAGACAAAAAATAGTGAGTCTTTGAAACAAGAACTGTAATGTCTCAAAAACAGAAATATGAGCTCTTTGAGTCAAGGCTTAATCTGACACGGGAATCCATAGGGAAAAGAAATCACTTATTTAAATGCTTAACTGATTCGGAGAATTGTTGATACTTGAGACCGTGTATTAACAGCTGTTATGGAGATTATTTGGTCATGAACGTGCAACGATCTGTCAAATTCACGTTTTTCATTAGTATTCTTCATGTATTTATTACTAAAACATAAAGGTACCTTGTTTTTCTGGATTTGTGGTATTTGTTTTTTTTATGTAATTTGTGCTGACAAATAGGTTCAACTTCATCGTAGGGGATAAACCATTTAGAGCATTTCTAAGGGTAAGTAAGTAAGTTACTAGCCATTATCAGAAAGAAATAAATATGGTTTGTTTTTAATGTTTTATACGTATATAAGCATATGCATATCTGGATAATTATGTCTTAAAGCTGCATATTATCATTCATTATGTATTATGTAGTATGTAATACATAAACATACTTTTATAAACAGGGCCCTTATTGTAGTTACTAGACTACTTTAGATGTTTATTGATTATTGCTCATCCTGGGAAAAGAAAACTAAGCAGTAAGCCAATATTGTTCTTTTGCTGCATGCAGTTTTACACCTTTCTTGAGACTACCCTTGTGACTTTTTCATTACTGCCGAATTTTATAGCATTCTTTGGTGATGAAGAAATATCTATTTCTGCTGGATCTCTTGCAACCACTTTTATTGGTTTTGGTAAGGTGTAGGAAACTCTCCTCTGATTAGATGATTCAATCCTGCTTTTTTGACATATTAATGGATCATCTTCCCTGTTCGTTGCAGCTTTGAACCTTGCTTTTGCTTTGAGTGTTCTGGGGTTCTTTATCATGCACATCTCATTGGTGTTAAGGAATACCACAACTATTGAGGTATCATTATTAACCCCTCCATTCTCTTATGGTTTTGCTATATAGAATTGTGTTACCTAATAACTGTCGCTTTGACATACCAATATAGCATTAATTGATATCAAAACATGAAAAGGAGAGTGTTGGCTGTTGAGGTTGCTTGAGGTCCCAAAACTCCCTCGGTTTTAACTCACATTTTTCTTGTATTACATTGTACCTAATACCTCACTATATAATGAGATTATTCCATAGTCCCAATTAAATACAGTAATTAAATCCTAAACTTATCAAAGACCTTAGAATATTTTATCATGCTAAAACTCTCTTATCAGCAATATCCACTAAGGGTGTGTTTGGGAGTTGGTTTTTGGGAAGGAGGGGAAGACGTGTGAGGGTTGATGACCCTCCTATTTGTGTTTAGGAGTGTAAAAAATGTGGAGGAATAATTTTGGAAGGTTTTTGTGACCCTCCAAAATCCCTCAAATGGTCAATTTTTAAGTTCCTCCAAAATGGGGGATTTTGAAGGATAACTATCTAAATGATATTTAAAGCTAAATTTAAAATGGATATCAGTTTCACTATTTGAATTCATCTTATCTCAGAAGTGATTTTAATTATAATTCCTTCTAAAACTCTTTTTTCAAACTTACTACTCCCAAATAAGAAGGGTTTCCTCACCTTCCCCTCCCTTTACCCTCCAACAACTTACCTTCAAAGCCTTTTTCATCCCTTCCCCCCCAAACACCCAAAAATACCCTAAAAGGTTTATTCTAGGTGTCTTGTATTCCCTGTTGTGTTCACAGATCCATCTGGTATGTTGATTTTTCTTCTCAGGTATTTGATTGTGTTTGTTCTCTTTTGTAGGCATTTGAGAAGATCACCCCAAAATGGCGATATGACCTCGGGAGGAAAAGAAATTTTGAGCAGGTAAGTTGATACTCACAATCTTCTTCCATAGTTCTTCCCTCATCCCACAAAGATAGTCCATTGTGTTTTTGCACACGAAATAAAAACTAAGTTAGTGAAAACATTAAATTTAACATGTATTTTACATAGAGACCTTTTGATCATGTTATCTTTGTAGTTAAGGGGTGTTTGAAATTGATTATAATTCTCCTTTTTAAAAAGCACAAGTAGAATCAGAATTTTGTGGCATGATGAAATGATTCTAGCCAGAGTATTTGCTATTAGTTAGGTTTTATGGAATAGAGAATCAGTGTAAACAGTTTGGATAACTTGCTGATGCAAATTGATTTTTTTTTGTTCAAATTTACCAGAATATCGAAGTGTATTGATTAGTATTTGTATTACTACGTATATACTAATATTACACTGAATAGGTGATGTTAAGAATTGATTCAAATAATGTAATTTATTTACTTTATTTAAATTATCTCCTCATACTGATTTATTTGAACAAGATTAAATATAAATGAAAACTCAAAATCACACACACAAACATATAGTTATATAACTCAAAATTATGGTCACATTTATAAGCGATATTTCAGGATTTAACATTTAAGAATGAGAATCAGTTTCAAGTTCACATTTATAAATGATATTTCAGGATTTAGCATTTGAGAAGCAGAATCAGTTTCTGAGAAATTGGTCATTTGGTCTTCCCTAGCTACTGAAATACTGATTCTGGGTAGCAATTAGAAGTGCTTCTGAAGTTTCACACTTTCACCCAAACACTCAAATATGCTTCCCTTGAGGGGATAGAAACATTAGAAAGAAACAGACCTAAACACCTCACTAGACAGTTCAGAAAGATACATTAATTAGGCGTATATATGGAAATAAATCATTGCTTGAATTTTTAGATATTGAAAGTGAACCTTATCTTTGTCGGACTGATGCAAATGAAGTACTGGAATATTTCGGGTGAAGGATGGAGTAATAGTTGCATTAAGTAATATATTGGTGAATCTTGCTTAAGAGACTTTAGAGGATGCAGTTGGTGAAATCTTCATAAACTGTAATATTTCCTTCATATAATAAACATAGCGGTAGTTAAGAGCATTTATCCTTCAGAACAGATCTACAAACTGATATTTCTTGAAATTTTGGCTCGTATAGAATTGTGTGGCAGTCATGCAAAATTCTATAGGGGCTGGTCAGGTCTTAACTGGTGCATACTCGAATAGTCCATCTTGTTAGGAAACCAGGTGCCTACTTTGCGTAATAGGGCTTTAAGTCCGTCTAGAGCCGAATTGTTATAAGGGGCACTTGCAACATATAGTTTTCCTGAAGTGAAGTGGGTGAGGGGGGGGGGGGGTCATTCTGCTTATTTGGGTAAGAAAGAAAATAGGGGTAGTAGATATATCTAGGGAAAATGGAAACTAATAATCCAACCTTTTAGCGGTCTTCTTACAATAATCCAACCTTTTGTTTATTCATGAATAATCCAACCTTTGCACCTCATCTTCATTCACTGGTCCCTGACCGGTTGATGACCTGCTATTCCAAGCTATTTTCTTATCTTTTCAAATCATTATACCATAAATCTCATCTTTCACAAAGATAATATTTTGCAAAGATAAGAAAATAACTTGGAATAGTAGGTCATTAACCGACCAGGGACCAATGAATGAAGATGAGGTACAAAGGTTGGATTATTCATGAATAATCAAAATGTGGGATTATTGAAAGAAGACCGTTAAAAGGTTGGATTATTAGTTTCCATTTTCCCTATATCTATTAAACTTCCCCATCCCTCCCCTTCCCTTCAGAATTGGACAGTTTCATAACTTCTTCTCATGGACTAGATTACCTTCTTAAGTGAAACTACTATCCTTTTTCCATTACGTTGTATCACATATTTCTCTTCCCGCTTTGCGAAGGAGCACAACCTTCCCCCTTGATATCTTATTGGTTTGGAAATAAATATGCATTAAACGTTTTCTAATTGGACATTTCAGAAAAGTATTATACAATTAAATATTCAATAAATAATTTAAAAATATGGCAGATGCCAAATATGTTTGTAACACATATATGTTGTAGTAATCCTTATTTTTGATTGATTACAGTTATTTATCTACTATCAGATTAAAAAGGGTAGATAGCCTATTTATAACTTTTAAGTAGTTTCTTTCCTAACTTCTTTTGTACAAAAAACTTGCTTAAAATGCCTTCTGATGTACACAAATGAGGTAATACTATAATACTTCTTATCCCTACCACTTCATTCAAATCCCTTCCTTCTCATCCTTCTTTTGAACCAAGCACATGACTCGTGCATCATACTTGTCATGGTTGTAAGGCGAGTTGCGGCGCCAATGGACCACCATATCGCTTAGGCGACAATTACGTGACTAGTCGCACATAGTGTAATATATATTATATATATAATGTATTATATATAACTACATATATTGTTATACATGGCATTTTATTTCCATTTAAAAACATTCTATTTAACTATATTTGATTTGTAATTTATTATATACGTAGTATTATATATGATTTATTATTAATTAAATTGTATAAAAGTTATATGCATACATACTAATATATGCCGTAGTGGGTATCTATACATACTTTATAGTATATATGAATTATACGTGTATAATAATAAAATTAAACTGTAGTGGGCATACTGCGTAGTGTAAAACTTTAGTGTAAAAGTGGTGTAAAATTGTAGTGGGTATACTTGGGTGCGTAACTGCATATAAAATAAAATATACGGAGTATTAATTAATATGGAGTATAATGGAATAAGAAGTCTGATGGACGTAACCGATAAAATAAAATGTTGGAGAAGACTGAACAGCGCAAGTCGTCTTCAACCTTGTGACTAGGGCACGCAGCAACTGCGGGTCATCGTCAACCTTGAGACAGAGGCACGCAGCAGAGGAGTAGCGATTAGCGATGTTTCGTGTTTAGGAGTCGTCGATTGGCCTTCAAGTTCCAAACTTTCAGAAGGCTCTACTTTCTCAATCTTATTTTGGGTTGGGCTTCTAAAAACGAATTTATTGATATTTTAATGGGAAAATGGAAATTAATAATCCAACCTTTTAGCGGTCTTCTTGCAATAGCCCCACCTTTTCGTTATTCAAGAATAATTCAACCTTTGCACCCTATCTTCATTCGTTGGTCCCTGACCGGTTCATGACCTGCTATTCCAAGTTTTTTTCTTATCTTTTGCAAAATATTATCTTTGTGAAAGATGAGATTTATGGTATAATGGTTTGCAAAGATAAGAAAATAACTTGGAATAGCAGGTCATCAACCGGTCAGGGACCGGTGAATGAAGATGAGGTGCAAAGGTTGGATTATTCATGAATAACGAAAAGGTGAGACTATTGTAAGAAGACTGCTAAAAGGTTGGATTATTAATTTCCATTTTCCCTATTTTAATCTCCCTGGTGCGGCAACATATTCACGCCTGGACGACATATTTACACCTGGATGACATATTTACGCCTAGACGACGCCAGAGATGACTTATCTTCTTCAGGCGAGTCGATCTCCCCTGTCGACCCTTCCCCATCGCCAGGACGCCTTGTCGGCGCCTAGTGGACGCCGTGACAAGTATGTCGTGCATAGAAGCTGTTATGCCAATTTTGAGAACCATGCTGCATGGGGTTAATTCCACCTTTTGGCCCTCAACTATTTGCATCTTTACCATTTTTTTGTCCTCAATGTTAAAAGCAACTAGTTTTCTTTAAATTGTGCTATTGTGCCAAATTTGATACTCTGAAAGATCAAAGTTGGCACACTGGGATTATAATGGACGCTTTTTAAATGGTTGAAGATCAGTTCAGTTGAGTCATGGGAATCAACTCCACAGTCAACTGTAATTGCATGTGCTTACATATCAGTGTAGTATGTATTTAGTTGTCCTTTCTTGGGAGGGTCAGGTGTTTGGAACGGACAAATGGTACTGGTTTATACCAAGGTATTCAGAAGAAGATTTAGGAGCAATGCCTGCTCTCCGTGGCCTTGAATATCCATCAAAGCCAGATATTGATGGTCAGGAATTCTAGGAAGTATTGTCAAATGCTTTCCCCTTCCCTTGGGACGGATTGTATTATACAAGATGTGTGGATGGATCCCTTTGACGAAGCAGCGGTGTGTTATTGGGCTTTGGGAACTGGACTTTTCAGGACTTGCAGATGCCTTATGATAGTGAGGTTTAGGTTACAAGTGAGTTGTATTCTATTCATCCAGCTACGTTGGTGTACATCACATGTAACTTGTAGTGTCAATTAGTTATAGCTTATAAATTATAATCAGTTAACACCATATCCTCATGCACGTGTGGTTAAAACTGTGGGCAGTCCATGTTTTGTAAGTCAAGGGATGGCAATGTTTAATGCTTCAGCAATTTTGCCATTTGTGCCCCCACATGCACTGATGCAAGTATGCAGTTCTGTTTTAATAGTGTTAACTGTGTCAATAAGGATCTTGTGTAGTTGTGCCTTGTTTGTAGATTGAATTACTTAAATATCCGGCAATTATGTCTTGACTCTTGATGTTTTTTTCTTTCATTATGCTTTGACGTTTGAGTTTTTTCCCTAAAATAATGTTAAATAAAAAAAATATTTATCAAAATAACGTATTTTCCAAAATACTGCTGCTCTACACGACTACACCCTAGTTAAGAGAACTAATGCACGTAACAACTAACACATGTAACAAGAAGGCAAAAAATGATCTAGGCGTCCACCAAAATAAAATCCATGTTTATAAAGTGAAATAATTTTTTATTTATACTCTGATTATTACAAGTTTAAAACAAATACTCCGTATATCAATATTCATAATTTTTTATTATCTTTCATACGACATCAATATTGAATATATAAAACTAAAAAATAATTAACACTTTAAAAATATTAATTTGTATAAGTGTTATATCTTTTTTTTTTGTACTTCAATTGTTACAAGAATATATATCAAAATTGATAACTCTATTATTTTTCATAAGACACAAATTTTGAATATATAAAAATAAAAAAATAAGTTCTATTAATTGTGCAGTTTATGATTGTTTTTTACTATGTACACTATTAATTTGGAGTGATAGCTTACAATAAAATTGCACAAATTTTAGCACAAAAAATAAATAATAAATAAAAGTGATGGAGTTTGTGCAGTTTTATTGTAAGCTATCACTCCAAATTAGAGAATGTCAAACTCTTACTCTTCATTATACTTAACACGAAACGTTAGATATAAAAAAGTTTGCTAATCAAGCTTTGTGTAATGACATAAGGTCATAAGTAGATTTAAAGATTGAATATTGCACACTTAAAAAGATTTTTTCATTCAGATGAAAACGTAGTTAGTTTTGGGGGAGGAGGTACGTTAACTGAATTGCGCTTAAATATCTATAGCATTGTCCCAAACTCCCACATATAGGCAAGTCATCGTAGAATGAAGTATAATAGTACTCTAAAAATGTTTTATAAGTAGGAAGTTTAAAATGAGGATCAAGAACGAAAGCAATAACATATATATAGGCGCAATGTAGGCATAATATTTTTAAAACTTTTCTTTGATGTAATCACAAAAATAATGAACATACCCGGTTTGGAAAAATTCTTGAAAAACACGGGCAAGATTAACATCAATAAAATAAGGTTAGCGGTAGATGTACAAAATACGAAAAAGATTAAGTAGCATTATTATGAAAATAAACACGCTGCAAATTTTTGTTACAAAAAAACAGGGAAATAATCCTTATATCTAAGAAGCACATAAATTAATTTACAAGTACTACTCCAACGAATAGACAAATCTTTACTAAAATAAAAACACTTAACACGTTTAGATTTCAAATAAGCACAACATTGCAGTTTAAGTTGTGTACTACCCCAAATAAGTCTAATACCCTCTTAACTTTGTGCATCACGTTTCCTAAAGCGGTGAAGCTGTCTTTCACACATAAATTAATAACATAACATGAACAACGTTGATGAAAAATATACTCATCAAATCAAAATAGAAGAACCATATAATTCACACAATTTAGTTATGTGAGCAGTTTTAGTAGTAGCATTATCAAGACCTATATCAAACATCTTATCAAACAAATTATATTCAACTAAAATACGTTCCATGATAATATAAATATTATCACCGGTGTGTTTTTTATTAAATTCTTGAAAAGCGATAACTCATTTATGCATTTGCCAATTATCATCAATAAAATGTGCAATCACACCCAAATAATACAAGTGATGATATGTATCTTCTCATATATCACCACAAATAGTCACACGACCTTGAAAGTTTGTGGAAAAATTAATTAATTTGTCCTTTTCCAAAGTATACTGTTTAATAATTTCTTTTTTAATTGTTTTGCAGCTATAGTTTTGAAATTCCGAATTGAAAAAACCTTGAGCATAAGCAGGTAAAGCGAGACTTTCAAAAAAATAAAAGACAAATTTTCTTCACACATTAATTCAAACATAGCTTTCAAATGTTGATCATCATTATATACAAAAATTTTATAGGGTTGATCATTTGCAAACCACAATGTTTGTGTTTTTGTGTCCTTGACCTTCGATTTAACCACCTCCGTGGGATGCCTCGCGTTCAAGTGCCTTTGGACGGTGTCATAGCTCTCTGACACCCCCATTCATAATACTTGATCACAATGATTTACAATACTCTACATTCATAATTGGTTTCCCGATCATCACGGCTTTGGTACGAAGATGGTTGCCCAACGTGTTGTTTACCTTTGAATCGTGAAGAAGGATGGCCTTTCCCAATCTCATTCGTATGGTTGCATTGGAGATTACCTATATCAATATATATCCTGCCGACATGTTGAAATGTAACAAATATGCAAATGTAACAAATATAAAAATGTGACTAACATCAAAATGCAACTAATATTAAAATGAGATTAATAGTGATGTGTTGTAAGTAATATGATAATGTGGCTAATAATAAATTGTAACAATTATTAAAATGTAATAAATATGAAAATGTCATTAATATTAAAACACAAGTAATATTAAAATGTGACCATTATTAAAATGCAAGTAATTTTCGAATGTGACTAATATTAAAATGATAATGTGAGTAATATTAAAATGTAACTAATATGATAAATGTGGCTAATATTAAATTGTAATAACCATTAAGCTGTAATAAATATTAAAATATGAGTAATACTAAAATGCAGCAAATATTAAAATGTGACTAATATTAAAATGAAATTAATATTTCGTACATAGTGTATATATTATATTATATTATATTATATTATATTATATTATATTATATTATATTATATTATATTATATTATATTATATTATATTATATTATATTATATTATATTATATTATATTATATTATATTATATTATATTATATTATATTATATTATATTATATTATATTATATTATATTATATTATATTATATTATATTATATTATATTATATTATATTATATTATATATATATCATATATAGTATGTATTTATATTTATATAGTATATAATTATTGGTAAGGGCATAATTGTTACTGCGTACATTTTATGATTGGTGGGGGGGAGGTTTTATTCATAAAGGCATTCAATGGCTAAAGTGGAGGTTTATGTGTATTCCGATTCTCCGAAGACTAAGGGAGGTTTGGGTTTCAAGACACTAAAAGAGTTTAATATTGATATGCTAGGTAAGCAAGTTTGGTGATTAATAATAGAATTTGATGCTTTGGTTAGTAAGTTTATTAAAGCTAGATAATTTCCAGATTCATCTTTGAGGAAGCTAAGATAGGGTCAATCCCTCTTATATTTGGTGTAACTTGTTTACATCTCACAAAGTGGTGTGCAAGGGGACTCGATGTAGAGTTGGGCATGAGATGTCTATATCCGTGTGGAAGGAGTCGTGGCTGCCTGTTTAGGTTGCAGAGAGAGTTCAATCAATGAAATCGGAAAGAATAACGAATATGAAGGTGACTACCCTGCTATCTGAAACTGAAAAGGAATGGAACATTCCTCGTGTTAAAAAACTATTTACTAGGTGAAAGGTTTTTATAGAAGTCTTAGAGGTGAGGTTGAACCAATAGATTGGTATTGTTGGACATGAGTGTGGAGCATGGAAATCCCACGGAAGGTGAAACTATTTTTTGAGGGGTGCTCCCTACTACGGATAGATTGACAATGACAAAGTGCACTTGTTGCGTGACTGCTCTTTAGCTCAAGGAATCTAGATCAAATTTGGCCTGATTTTCTCTTCACGAAGTGTGACTGATTTAGTAAGGTGGGTAGAGTAGGTTTTAAGCAAGTTATCGCATGAGAATATCTGCAGATTCATTATGTTGTTGTGGATTTTGTGGAAGCAAAGAAATGAGATTGTTTGAAAGGGGAGTCAGGGATCTGTTGCGGGTCTGTGGACCACTATAGAGGCTTTGCTACGAAGGTGGTGTGTTAATATGAACAAATTTATCCTTTTATTTTTGCTTTCCAGTCATAAGAATGTCTAAAAATATAGACTCAGTATCTTTTAATCATATCACGGAAAATTTCTCAAGTTCAAAATAAGAGTTATCAATTAGGCTCCAAGTAAGACTGAAATTGTTTTAGATAATCATTTTAGCTATTTGCATATAATTTTTCTTTATTTTATTAATAAACATGTATTTTAAATACTCCATATAATTTTAGCATTTCATAGACTCTACATTTGTCCTAATTCTTAATGATTTAATCACATGCACTCTCTGCACTCTAACTCAAAATGACTTGCAAAGTCTTAATTACTTTTAATTTACATAGTTCTATTTTATTTACTGATTTAGCATATCAATTTTTATTAGGATGTTATTTTAATTTTAATTTGTTGGTAACCAACCTTAAAATCAGTAGATTGAAATTTAATTTCGGATGGATGGGGCAAAGTAGAAGAAATTTAAAAGAAACGAATTGAAGCTAGTAGAAGAATCTAGGTTCCATGCGATTTTACTGGTAGAAAGATGTCAGTCAGATACAAACTCAAAATTCCTACCTAAGACGCGTCCCTTTTCTTATCTTTCTTTCCAATCCCGTTGTTCATTTTCTGATCTATTCGACCCATTCGATCTTATTCAGCATTTCAAATTTAAAGTTTCGTTCTCTAAGGTAGCTCTTCCATTTTTCTTCAAAACAATCTGCGTTAATCGTTGCGCTGCTAATAATTCCATTGGTTTTTGTCCTCCACGATTGGTCAGCAGGCAAAAAAAAACTAGAACCTTCATGAAAAAGCCGGTTATACAAAGATTATAGACGAACTGTTTGGAAAGTTTTATCTAACATTGAAAAGCTGTATATTCATAATTCATGTATACAGCCCCAAATTTATAGTCAGTCGTGTTTTTTGTAGCGAGAGAGAAAATTGGTATTTCGCCTTGATTCTTTCTTGCCCTACCACACCAACGATAGAGATCGATTTCTTCGAGAATTATAATTTTGTGGTTTACTGATTTCTCATACTTTTGGTTCAGAGAAAACAAAATGCAGAGGGAGAGAGGAGGGGTTCATGAGGAGAAGGACACCAGCACCTCGATTGGGGAAAAGATTTCCAGCATTCTCGGAAGCTTGTTTGGGCCGAAAGGGCCAGTTTCAAAAGATACCCCTCCTGATGATTTACCAAGAGCCAGCAAGCCCACTGGACCCGTCATTGAGGAGCTAGAGAGCAATGAAGATGGTGGTGGCGGTGAAGTAGAAAAATGTGGAGAAGTGTGTCATAACCAGCAGCAGAGTAGTGATTGGGCCAACGGAAACCCACTTGTTGAGCACCCTGAGGATCAAGCTGATGGTAATTTGTTTATGGTTATGCATATATTATTGTTTCAGGAGAAATATAGATCACTTTAACTTTTGGTCTTCAATTTTCATTTCTTTCCGTCCCTTCGATTATTCTCAGCATAAGTGATAAAGATGACAAGAAATCCATTAATGTGCACAAACCAATAAAAATGAAAGGCAGGGACTAAAAAAGCCAATGAACTAATATTCCTGGGACCAAAAATACAAGAATGTCTTCTCAGTATTAGGCATGCAAGAAGATATACGGAGTATTTGTTTTCCAAATCTCCTGTTACATAGAATTATTACTGTGTTCTTTGGTTTCAATAGATTATCATAACGAGACCAGTAACATGAGGAAATCTCCTTCATTTGGGAGCATTGAAGGAAATAGAAGTATGAGCTACAGAAGAGTAACACATGGCGGCATAAATGGCGCCTATTTAACGGCTACTACAAGCCGCCTGACTGGAAGTGATGGAGTAAGAAAAACTGCTCTTTTGAATTTGTGTTAGGAATTTCTGGTGCACGCCCCTTTCAACTGTTTTTACATTGTAGAGTAGTGTTTTCATATGACTAATGTGCTCACAATCTTGCATTATAATAATGAATTTATAATACTAACTAAATCTAATTATAAAACAAATAATAATGGTGATGATTTTTTGTGTGCAACGGAATGAAATGATGATAAAGCTAGAACTAATGTTATGCTTGTTTGAAAAAACAGAGGGTGTGGGAGGAAACCAAACATGCAGATACTACAACGGGCGAAGCAACACACAGAATCTCTAGAGGAATCCATGATAAGGTATTTCGCCCATCTTGTCCTATATGTATATTTGTGTATACAAAAAAAGATCTAAGAAGAGTGTGCTTATTAGTTGGAGTTTTTGACGTTATTAAACACCATTGAAGTGTGCTTGGGTATGACTGGATGATTGATAAGGTTACCTAAATCCTAATGGCCTAATGGTATGTTAAGGGGGTTTGGGTGTGGTGAGGTGAGCTCGAGTTGTCTTTTGTTATGAGTATGTTATCTTTGGAAGTCATTACAAAGACTGTATTTCAATTTTTAATACCCGATTTATATTTATTCTTATTATTAAATTTTTGTTGTTGTTATTATTATTATTATTATTATTGTTATTATTAGTATTCTAAACTTGTAGCTATGATTGTAATATTTCTGCAATAAAATCATAAGCAATTTTTACAAATTTAAGTGAATACTCCCCTTAAGAAACGAAATATGTGTATTGACTTTGAGGCCTTTACAAATTGCAACAAATGTAGTTGAAGCAAATCAAGCAATATTTTACCAGATATGCCACATTGGGACAAGTAGTCATCCCTTACTATTTGTATTTTATTAAAAATATCATCTAACAGTTTGCACTACTTTTATATAAATACCAGTAGTGAAGTCATGTCATCATAATTGACCTAACTAAATTGGGTTCCAAGTGGGTATAAATTTCACTGATTCAAGTTTTGGGAGTGGCTTGTTGTCAAGAATAACAACGGGGCTTTGCCCCTATATACCCTCGTGGTGCTATCCTTCCCCATACTTATACCCTAGTGGTGCTATTTAAATTGGTGTAGTCTTTAATAGATGGAATTCCCAGCTCCCAAGTCCTCTATTTAAATTGGTGTAGTCTATTACTATAAGCCCTGTTTTTTACCATGATACTATAAGCCCTGTTTTTTACCATGATACTAAAATTTACTTTGATTGATTGATCAAAATGCTTGTTGGATGAAGTAGGTGCTTTCAGCTGCTGTAGCAGTTTAGCATTAACCCTTTGAGACAGATGTGCTGAAGTAAAAAAGTTTTTGTTTCTCTAGGGACACACAGTAACAAGGAAGCTTAAATCAGATGGCAAGGTCGATTCTATGGAGACTTTGCACAATTTAGGGGAAGGTATATTTTTTTCATGATGTGTGAAGGTTTTTCCCTTAATAAACACTGAATGAAGAAAGTAAGGTTTTTAATACAGATGACTTAGTTGGTTTTGAACGGGATTGGAAGACTAATGCCGGCAGAGATTGGAAGTATAATGCTCGCAATGGAGGACCAATCACCAGCAGCTGGTTGACAAATTGGGACTCTCCCTTTAGAGAAGGCTCTGTTGGTCCAAGGTCTGACCTTGACACCATAGGGCGCCAATCTGGAGCCAGGGCAAAAAAGGTTATCACTATTAACATCGAGTGAATTCTAGTTTCTTTTTAACACCATACAAGTACCAAGAGCTGGGTATGTCCTGGTGATGATTCAAACAATCAATTCAAGTACTCGGTTTTGGTTGCCATGTTTGTGTACAGTAGCGACAGTCTCACATTTGGCTTTTTTATTTTACTTTTCTCCTCCTAAGCATAGATTGTCATTTTATAGCTTTGTCATGTAATATAGGTGTGCTTAAGAAGGATTAAAACCAGGTTTGGCAGTTGTATAAAAGAAAGAGAAAAGGCAAGAGAAAAAAAAGGAATTGCATTTCTGACCAAAAAGTCTTGACCCCTAGACTACATAAACATTAACAATGACTTCTAGAATACCATGTAGAAAGGGGGGGAAATGCCTAGCTTGATACAAAACAAGGGCAAGATTCAGGTACAATGGCGGTCTTTAAATCTGATATCTTAGAGAGCTTTTGGATGATTGTTTCAATGGTTGGCCTTTGACTAGGAGATTCATGAGTGCAAAGTAGAGTCATCTTTCCTAACATAACAGCCTCATACCTCTGCTCCTTGATAATTTGAATGGCTGACCAGTCTTTCCAGTGATGATCTGAAATGTGATGATACCAAAAGCGTATATGTCACTCTTTTCAGAGAAGCGGCCAGTGGTTGTATAATCGGGAGCCAAGTACCCCATTGCAGCGCTTCCCTCTAGGGTTGAGTAGGGTTGGACTAGGGTCGGGTCCGGGCCGGGCCGGGCCGCCGGTTTTGAATAGTTGGGCCCGGGACCGGCCCGGGTATCTACCGGGTCCGGGCCGGGCCTCGGGTTTGGTTTTTTTTTTTTTTTTTGCTTTCCTAAGTATCTGACGTGCTCTTTGTCACGGTGCGTCAAAATAAATTCAATACTAGCACTAATACGTAGTATAGTGAAGTAGAGTTCGTATCCACAGGGAAAGGAATAATTCTCTTTTTATGAACTAGTAAATAAAAGGAGGGTTTTGGTATTGTTGGAATTTAATTAATTAAATACTAAGATGAAGGACTTATATGAGATTTAATTAAGATAAAAAGGACTTGGCATTGCTACTTTCCACTTGTTGATATATTTTAGTCGATCATTGTTATATCTATAACTTATCCCCTCTCGAATACTCAATCGAGGAGTATATCCAATTCATCGAGGGTAGTTATTAACAACGACCGTTCATTAATAACCCTTACTATTAGTCAAGTATAGAACACCGCTATATACCGACTTGATAGTAGCATTTAATCTCTTAACTCCTTGATGAAATCAATTGAGATTGATAACCTCAACACAACGGTTTCGGTTTAACCAACAAAATTAATCCCTCTTAAGTTTATTAACCACGACCGTGCATTAATAAACCGAAGTTACTTGTGAAACCATCAACGATTAACCATCGGTTCGTTGAACGTTTCTAGTAGTAATTAATGTTGAGATGTTAACTAATTGTCATTTTAGCAACCCTCCCCAACATTAACATAGAGATAGATTAAGGGAAGAATTAATATTCAAGAAAGAAGATTAAATATCAATAATCTTACTATCACTAATGTCAAGATGTTATCTAATTGTCATCTTAGTAACACTCCCCAACATTAATATATAGAGGAAGAAAATAAATACTACTATAACTAATGTCGAGATGTTAACTAATTGTCATCTTAGCAACACTCCCCAACATTAATATATAGATAGATTAAGAGAATAATTAATATTCAAGGGAAGAAGTTAAGAAAATAACTCACAACTTTAATAATCAACAAGCTTCAAGAGCAACACCAAGAAATGGAAGTTTAGCTCCTCATTTGGAGACTAAACATGCTATAAAAATATAAAAGAAATACTATTCTAAACTGAGCTTAAGAGTATGGAAGAAGGGATGATCCTTTGTGAAGGAAAATGGGGTTATTTATAGGTGTTTTCAATACCCTGGGGCATTGACCCGCCCGGGTAAAAGGACATACCCGACTGGGTCAACGTCAAAATCAAATATTTCCCACGTTCTGGCGATCTTCGGCATGTTCCGGTGTTCCGGGTCACATCTGACCCGACCGGGTCAAATAAGTGACCCGCCCGGGTCTAGTGACTTTCTCAGCAGTTTCTGATTCTTTGTCATGCCCGACCGGGTGAAGTATTGTACCCGGTCGGGTTTTTGCTTCTGGGCAGCCAAATCTTATTTTTCTTCACTTCAAAGTCCTCCTTTTCAACACCCTAATTCCTAACTCTACTTTACAACTTACAAAAGAAGATTAAAATACAATTACAACTAAAATCACACAAATGTTTACAAACTAAATAAAACGGTAAACAAACCACACAAATCAAACATAAAAACATACACTTATGCACTACTAATAAGTGCATATCAGTATCCCTGACCCCACCCCCCCCATCCCAAACCCCTCCTAAACATCAAGCCCAACCCCGGTGGAACCCAAAAAAATGAAAAAACAAAAAGAATCAATTTGGCCCGAACCGGGTTAGGGCCCGGCCGGGTCTCATTTTGAAGGAACCGTGCCCGGAACCGTCTCCCCCTCGGGCTGGGTCAAAGCCCGGCACCCGGACCGGTGAACCGGGCCGGTCACGGGCCCGCACAGCAGCGGGCCGGGTTGGTTCACAGGCCGGGTGTCCCGACCCGAGTCCACCACTAGGGTTGAGAAGACAACGTCTTCTACGAACAAGATGGTGCACATTCAACAATTTTGATTAGGAAGAGTCGTAATTAACTCAGACTTTTTTTTGGAGCAACATGTTTTGCAGTTGACACATTATCTTTAAATTTTTCAAAATTTTTAATCATTTCCCAAACATGGTCAAATTTAAAACTTTTAGAATATTTTGGATCTTGCATAAATATCTTTTTCATAAAAATAAATTTGTATTACATAAATGAAAATAAATTATTGAAAATTAAAATTATATAATACTCACAATATCTTTTTCAGAAGCATCACTTGGATTTAAATTCTCAACTTGCTTCACACACCCATTTAGCTCCCGTGCCTGAGTAGTTATTGTATCCGTTCTTGAATGCAGTGAACGTGTATTACGTTGCTCGTGATTTTGTTGACGCGGTTCATTGTTATGTCTAAGGGGGTGTTTGGAACTGATTCTGCTTCTGCTTCTTTTTTAAAAGCAGAAGCAGAATCAGAATCAGTTTTCAGAAGCTGATACCTCCCAACTTTTAAAAAAACTGATTTTGAGAGTAAATTAGAGCTTCAGAAGTGCTTCTGGAATTTCACCCAAACACTCCAGCTTCTGCTTCTGCTCCCTGAAGGAGCAGAATCAGTTTTGAGAATCAGATCCAAACACCCCCTAAATACACTTGACACAACAATGCGTCTTCAACTATGGTGTAACTACTTGATCTTAAAGTCATTTTGCTCGTAAGGGAAAAAAGATAAAATATAGATTGTGAGATAGAGGTTTTGATGAAGTGTGATAATTCATGACATGGGTATTTATAGAATGTAGAGGTTGATAAGGAATCTTTATGTTAGCCGTTGGATGGATTTCTTTTTATTCACAACCATTGGATTCTTATCTTTTAAGATAAGTGTGTTTGTCACGCATTACTTACAATGTCAGACACAAGTTGGTAGAGAATCTTTATATTAGCCGTTGAATGGATATGGATGGATTCCCTTTCCTTAACAACCATCGGATTCTTATCTTTTAAGATAAGCGTACTGGTCACGCATTACTTACAATGTCAGACACAAGTTGGTAGGGAATCTTTATGTTAGCCGTTGGATGGATTTCCTTTTCTTCACAACCACCGGATTATTATCTTTTGAGATAAGCATACTTGTCACGCATTACTTACAATGTCAGACACAAGTTGGTAGGGAATCATTACGTTACCCGTTGGATGGATTTCCTTTTCTTCACAACCATCAGATTCTTATCTTTTGAGATAAGCATACTTGTCACACACTACTTACAATGTCAGATACAAGTTGGTAGGGAATCATTACGTTACCCGTTGGATGGATTTCCTTTTCTTCACAACCATCAGATTCTTATCTTTCTCTATAAGCGTACTACTATTAGTATGAACAAATTAACACATCAGATGGATCACCACATAAAAAAATGAACTTCAATATTGGAGCATCCTCTTACATATCATCGTCTTCTTCTTCTTCTTCTTCTTCAGATAATGGTGCTTCAGCGATGAACACTATAGCACAACTTGATGAAGAAAAAGAAGAAATCATGATGGTGGCACTAAAAAACAATAACATGACAATAAGTCACTGTATAGGTGAGCTGAATAGGCCTATCAGGCACGGTGGATCCGTTCATGGTCATGTGGTGATAGACCGTGATCGGGAAATGGGAGACTATAATTTGTTCATGGACTATTTCTCTCCAAATCCACGTTATGGAGAAGCATTATTTCGTCGACGATATCGTATGTCGCAAGATTTGTTTCTACAAATAGTTGGTGTTGTTACAAATCATGACAACTATTTCCACCAACGAAGAAATGCAACAGGTAGAATCGGATCATCAGCTTTACAAAAAATAACAGCTGTATTTCGTATGTTGGCATATGGTGTGCCTGCGGATTCAATAGACGAGTACGTTAAAATAGGTGAGTCTACAGCAATTGAAATGTATGAAAAGGTTTTGTCGATCTATTGTCCAAATATATGGAGGACACTATCTAAGAAGACCTAATGACAATGACATAGCGAGACTTCTTGATATTGGAAAACAACGTGGATTTCCAGGAATGTTGGGGAGTCTTGATTGCATGCATTGGAAATGCAAAATTTGTCCAATAGCATGGGCAGGACAATATTTTGGTCGTAGTGGCCCACCAACTATCATACTTGAAGTTGTGGCAGATTATGATCTTTGGATATGGCACACATATTTTGGAATGCCAGGTAGTAATAATGATGTTAATGTTTTAGAGGTATCCAATCTTTTTTCAGATTTAGCACAAGGAATTGCTCCTCCCGCTCATTATATTATTCAAGGAAAAGAGTATAATGTCGGTTACTATTTAGCGGATGGTATATATCCAAAGTGATCAACACTTGTTCAAACAATTCATCAACCACAAGGTAAAAAAAAAAAGAAATATTTTGCCATGAGACAAGAAGCATGTGGAAAAGATGTTGAACGTGCCTTTGGAGTATTGCAATCCTGATTTGCAATTATCGCGGGACCTTCACGTTTTTGGGAGAAAAAAAGTCTTTCACGACATAATGAGTGTATGTATTATTATGCATAATATGATAATAGAGAATGAACGTGATATACATGCATCAGTTGAAGATGTGAGAGATACACCAGTTCCAGATGTTGAAGTGGCAGTTGATGAGGCGGCACGGTTCACTCAATTTCTTAGCCGACAATATCAAATTCACGACAAAGATGCTCATATTGAGCTCCGCGATGCTTTAATTGATCATTTGTGGGAACATTTCTCAAATTCCTGATAACTAAACTAAGAATATTTATTTAATCAATTGCTTTAAGTTTAAGTAGTACTTTATTAATGACGTACAAATTACTATAATATTATTGTAATATTTAATTTTATGTGGTTTTAGCTTGTATTTGTGAAACATTGATTATTGTATTTTAATTAGTGAAATGCGTGAAAATACATATTAAATTGGTGTATTTTAGTTTGTATGTGTGAACTAATGTGTGAAAATGTCAAAATATTAAATGAGGTGCTAATGTATAAATATATGATAATTAGATACTCCGTACTTAAATAGAAGAATGGTAAAAAGTTGGTAAAAAGAATAAAAAGTGAATATTCCTTTTTTGTGATGAAAATGGTGTAAACGGTTGAAGATAAAATACTGTATGATGTGATATTTACACCATTTTAGTGTAAAAATGGTGTAAACTGTTAGAGATGGCCTAATGTAGTTGTTAATTTGTTATGAGAGACGATGATGCATGGGAAATACTTCGTATAGCCTATTATGCTACGGACATCATTATTGTTTAAAGTTATTGTTTTAACTTTTTTTTGAATGAATTCGGCTTAGATTAATAACCAATAATTCAGAATATGGGTCAAATGACAAAAAGAAAACTGATAACCGTTATCCCTCGAACCAGACTCGGAATTAATCGCCGTAGTAATAAAATTCGCTAATCCATAACTGGAAAACAAAAGGCCAAAAATGGTTATCATATTCCTCTCAACCCCCATATCCAAAATCAACGTCTTACAAATTGGAACAGAAACACAGAAACAAATACCAAAGCAAGAATAACAATTGATGAAAGAGTAAATAAAACAATATAAATAACACTCCTGCCTCCGCCAGACACTCCATGGTAGGGGTTCAGGAGGGGGACAGATCAACACCTCTTCCTCTTCTTTCGCCCGTAGACCCCTGTTCGGAGCCTTGTCCTCGCCCGTGAGCTCCACATCCAGAATCTGATCTTCTTCATCACCCTCGAGAATGAGGTTAACACACTTGATGATCTTGTCCTCCATAACCGCCTTGACCACAGCCCGTCTGGATCGCTGCCCCCAATTGATCGCAACGTTTCTCAGAACCCAATTGATATCGATCACACCTTCCCTGAAGCCGCCGATCGATGCTAACACCGAAGCCAAGACACACGATCGACCTGCTGCTCCAAAACACCAAAAAAGGCACGAAACCTGCAAACCACCGACACATTCTACGTCCCTGCCTTACTGCTACAGCCGAGGCGAAGAAAAACGGGAAGAACTGATGTTACTCTAGAGACGGCCGAGCCAAATCCTTAGAGAGAAGAAACGATGCTACTCTAGAGAGAAACCCTAGAGAGAGAAAAAGAACATCATAGTCTTTATCAACCCTAGAAAAAGGGAGTGTTTGCAATAGCTTAAAAAAAGCACTTCTCAGCTTTTGGCTTAAAAAAGCACTTATTTACCAAACACTTCCAATTTTTACTTTTTCTCGGCTTGCGTGTGAAAAGTGCTTTTCCCTTTTCTATCACACAAAAAGCACTTATTTTACCAAACACTATCAACTTTTACTTTTCAAAATCACTTTTTTCTCAAACACTATCAACTTTTACTACTAATCACTTTTTCATTACATCTCCAAAAGTGCTTTTTTTTAAGCAGAAGCAGTTGCAAACACTCACTTAAAGTTGTTGTTTAAACTTAAATATGGAAATAGAGCCTAGTGATTAGAAATTACGTAGGTTTTTGTTTCTAAATTCTTAAATTAGAAATTAAAATCTGGCCGAATTGCAAATTTAATACACATACATTAAAAACTGATTTTGAAGTTGATAAAGTTACTGTTTAAACTTAAATATGGAAATAGAGCCTAATGATGCTACTGTCATCCTTACGTAGGTTTTAGTTTCTAAATTCTTAAATTAGAAATTAAAATCTGGCCGACTTGTAAATTTAATACACATAAATTAAAATCTGATTTTGAAATTGATAAAGTTACCAAATAAGATGAATATATTAAACGTAATACTCTGTAGAAAATAAAAGGTATAGAAAGTAATTAAATAATTGTTATATATGATGACATGGCGGGGTTACGTGGCACTCTGTATGCTCATGAAAAATTCCTCTTATGTATATATATATATATATATATATATATATATATTGATTTTAATCACATTGTGGAAATCATAGTAAAAACATTGATGAGTTAGGCAACTAATACTTTCGAATAATTAGAAAATGGTCATTCAATGAAGTTTGTTAAAATACAATTGAATTAGTCAGTGAGGAGTGCACTAACTCAAAAGGAACCTCAAGGGAAGAAACACTCTGTATTAGCTCCAGTCGGCGGGTTATCCCTGGGCTCAATAGCTTCTCCAGTGGCAGTGTTGTTTCTCCGCAGATTGCAATTTTGGGTATCGTGCGGCTTCAGCGGTAGCGGGCAAATCACTTTGCGTATTAGCGAAAATATAATCGGCAGATGGGGACAAAGATCCTCGCAGCATAGCAAAGACAAGGAGGCAATCTAACAAACATGGTTGGAAATGCAGGACTGGCAGAAAAGTTGATCGGACAATGCAATGATTTGGAGATTGGGACTGAGGATGATGAACTGGTGCTCGATGAGGAGGACGCTTGGACTGCATGGAGCAGACGTTTTCAGGGGCTCGTCCCCCTCCTGAGCCGCCACCATGGAGTGCAAGAGAGTCTAAGATTTAGAAGAAAATGAGTGAATTCTGTTTTAATTTCGTTTCATTTTGTTTGTGTTTTTCTTTCGAACTACATGTTGTTTTGGGTGTGCTCTTTTTTTCTAGCAGAAAGTTTTTTGCATTTAAGTCAGGTGATGAGAAATCTGGTTTGCCTGTCATAGGCTCAGTTAAACCCATTACAGGATCAACGATTCTTATTGCTTCTACGGAGGTGATAGTTTCTAAGGATGGTTCAAGGGTGGACGGCAGACATAAGACTTTTTATCATTTTGTTTCCTATTTTATCTCTAATTGTATTGTCAGCCATAAAAATCTTCATTGTATTGTCAGCCAGCTGGCAAACATTTTATTGATTTAATATAATGTATCTGTTTTGATGATAAAAAATATAGGAAATCGTAATTATGATTTCTAGGTGATAATTGTGTGGCTCGTAATCTTCTCATGATTTGGATGAGCTCACACTTTCTTCTGTAAATAAGAGTTCGTCTTATTGTAAATTTGTAATAAAGGATGTTTTTATTTCCCTTAAAAAAGGATTTTTTTGTTTGGACTGTTTTCAGTCCCATACTAGACTACACCAGACTTAAACAGATTAGACTTTCATATTTATAAAGTACATAGATACAAGATATTTAACAAACTAGATCAGATCAGATCAAATCAGATTTAAACGGATTGGACTAAACCAGACGAACAAATATCAATACAAGTAAATTCATCCTAACACACGTCGCAATTTATATTCTACACCCTATGTACATGTACATCTTTTTTTGTAATTAGTAGGAAGTTTGAGGATAACTAATGGGCTGAAGTTATGAGGAATATAGGATGAAGTGCTGAGTTGCTTCCTTATTTCGCCGGTGCTCCGCTCATGTACCGTATGTTCTCATTTTTTTTTGTTTATTCTTCTTTCTTTTTGTTTTCTTTGTTTGTTCTCCTTTCGTCTTTTTTGTTTTCTTTGTATGCTTTCCTTTCTTTTCGTTTCTTTTGTTCATTCTTTTTTTCTTTGTTTGTTCTCCTTTTTTTGGTTTGTATGGTCCCCTTTCTTTTCTTTTCTTCCGTTCATTCTGAGATATTACCCGAAATAGGACTAAAAAAGTTTGCAAATTCCAAAATAGGACTTCCATGTTTTTATTCCCAAAATAGGACTAATTACTGCCATGTTTTGGCAGTACCAGACTTCAAACATGACAGTATTTTCCAATTTTGGCAGTAATTAGTCCTATTTTGGGAATAAAAACATGGTAGTCCTATTTTGGAATTTTCGAACTTTTTTAGTCCTATTTCGGGAACTTTCCCTTCTTTTTTTGTTTTCTTTGTTTGTTCTCCCTTTTTAGCAACCTTCTACTATATTCAATTATTATGAAAATGTATAATATAAAATATTATTAAATGTTTCAATTTATTTTTTAGATTCATCTGGTAGTTGATTATAGATATATTAGCACAAACCATGACATTCAATTGCATGTTTTCAATACTCAATCGAGAAGATTTGATGCTCAATAAAAGTGTCTTGAAGTACAAATAAAAAATTATGATTTTCATATCAATACTCATTTTATAAGTTACGTTTGTTCAAATTTGTTGATGTTAATTCCTTCGATCCTTGGGCCCAACACGTAAGCCCAAAGGGTCTCGAGTGGAAGAGGTGTAGGAGTGTAGATATCTAGCCCAACAACAATCAGAAAGATCAGGAAACAGAGGAAATAGCAGGCAATGTAAGTAGGTATTATTAACTTCGTAATAACTCCCCTAAATACAATCTACTTGCTACAATAAGGCACGTCGGCCGTTCGTCTTACAAGGCAGTAAAAGAGCTGCGAGTAAGAATGCTATAGCTAGAGTGCTAAGAATAGAAGGTTGCCAACCCTTTACAATGAAATAAATGCTTCTATTTATACCCACCAATGGGCAGGTGGCTATACTGACGTGGCAGCCTGCGACCGCTGGTGTCCCAACCACCAAATCTTCAGCATTAAATGCACTTCCCGCCAGAATCTAGGTTTCCCGCCTAATTAGTGGGGACGTTCGTCCGCCCGGGGAGCGAGTTGGATGGCTCCAAGTGACCCTCAGGAGGTACCGGCTGTTCGTCTCCTGGCCTTAATGGATTCTCACCATGTGGACTGGGCTTCCTCCGATGACTGTAGGCTTGCTCTGGAGACGTTCGTTGTCATCCCCGGTGGCCCGTGGTCCTGCTCCTTGTCCCTGCCTAGACGCTCGTCGAGTTGAGCCGTTGAGCCTGAACCCCCAACTCCGGATGTTCGTCCCTCCCCAAGGAAACATGGGCCTGCGGGCTAGCCTTGTGTTCAGACTGGACGTACGTCTGGTAAAAAGGGGTTAATGGGCCAGACCTCGGCTTGGGCCATTAACCCAACAAAATTGTACTCATATTATGCTCATTTTTAAAATGTCATATTCATGCAAATTTTGAAAGTTGCATATGACATTAAATTCACATTGTTAGGTTCCTAATGCTCAATCGAATAAGTCTGATTCTCATTGAAAGTGTTTTAATGCTCATAATAGGTCCGATGCTCATTAAAAGTTCATTAATGATCAATTAACAGAAACTGTGATTTTCATCTCAATAGACGAGGTTTGATGCTCAATAAAAATGGCGTTATGTCAAACTAACAAATCTTACGATTTTCATATCAATGAACACTTTGTATGTTACATATGCTCATCTTGTATTGATCTTATGCACATTCTTTATATGTCATATCAATGCATTTTTTTAAAGTACTATTTTACATTAGATTCACATATTGAAATTCTTAGGAGTTGATTATAAATATAATTTAATAAGTTTTTATAAAAGAAAAAATAACTAAAAGAAAGTGAATTAGAAGTTATGAAACAGATGTCACGAATATAAATATTAGACTACTAATACTCAACATAATAGGCGTGATGCTTATTAAAAGTTCATTAATACTCATTCACCAAAAACCGTGATTTTCACCTCAATAGCGAATGTTTGATGCTTAATTAAAATGTTGTGATGTTCAACTAACAAATCTTATGATTTTCATATCAATGTACACTTTTTAAGTTATGTATGCCCATTTGATACTGGTGTTATGCTCATTTTTTAAATGTCATATCAATGCAATTTGAAAAGTATCATATTACATTAGACTCGCATATTGAAATTAATAGGAGTGAATTATAGTTATAATCTAATAAGTTTTTATAAAAGAAAAAATAAAAAATAAATAAAAAGAAGATATAAAGCAGAGATCGTGATACTCATTCTTTGCCTCATAATACTCAATACAATAGGTGAGATTCTCACTAAAAGTACACTATTGATCATTTAGTGGGAGCCGTGATTTTTCGGTTAAATCACAAAAATGCCACAGAAAAAATAGGTTGTTTTAATTAAATGAAATGTCTTTTTTTTAATTGAGCCTTCGTTGAATTCAATAAATTTTATTGATAATGAGTTATTGAAATTGGGCCGAAGCTTAAACAACTAAATAAAAGTGGATATATTGTCCCCGCCTGTTCACCCGGACCCGGGTTAACAACTGAACCCACGGTTAAGAACTCTATGAAGAGCATACATAACAATATCACTCTTTCTTTGTTTCAATTTGATTGCGAAAGTGATGAATTCCCTTCTCCGGCTCTTGTCTCCACAGAGATAGTCAATTTCGTAAGTTTGATTCCTTCTGATTATTACTTTTAGTACTTTTACTGTGAGGGCCCATTCGTTTGGCAGTGGGTTGAGCCTTGATTTTAGTTATTCCTTTTGCAGGATTATATTTCATTGTATCTTCAGTGTATGTATATTTCATTCGTTTGAATTTCATTGTGGACTCCGGTTTCTTTGAAGCTGCATCACCAGTCTTCTTCAACTTCCCTGTACTTTCTCTACGCCATTCTCTCTGCAGTCCAGCTTTCACATATTAACTTAAATGGATTCATGCAAAAACCCAACCTCTTCTTTTTATGTGTTTGCACCTTCAAAGCACAGGTATCTTTAGGATCTTTTGAATTGCATTCCCCCCCAATTGTACTCTAATTGTCAGTTGTTGTTTTTATGTTAATTGATTTGCATGTTTTGTTTTGTTATTGTAATTTGAATTACAGTAGCCATGGTAGAGGGAGAGGATTTAATGCAAGGGGTAACAGTGAAAGGTCAAGCAGTCTTGGTGGTGGCTCTGGAAAAGATAAAATTGATGCTCTTGGTCGATTACTGTATGTTCAATCCTTACTAACTTTTTTTTGTGATGTTACGTATTTCTCTGGAAAGGCATTTGCGATGTCCTTGATTTACTTTTATGCTGTCCATAACTAGTTCAGTCCTTAATGATACAGTGAGGTAATCACGTTTTACAAAGGAAACACGCCCCCTAAATAATTATACAACAACAACAACATCCAAGCCTTAGTCCCAAAAGATATTGGGATCGGCTAACATGAATCGATACATGATAACACCACCAAAAGGAAAAGAAAGAAAATAAAGATTAAAAAATAAGCTATTATAAAAAAGATAATATAAAACGGGATGAATATACTAAAAAAATGATAAAATAAAAAGGATAGAAATAATGTTTATATATATAAGGATAAAAGAATAAGAAACAAGAAGAAAAAAGATGAGGGGAAATAATAATAATACGAGATCACTCCTCCACACGAATACCCGCCCTCCATTTTGCTCTCTCCAAAGTCATACCCTAATCCAACCCAAGAAGAAGCATATCACTTTGGACTGCCCTAACCCACGTTTGTTTGGGTCTCCCTCTCCCTCTCTTCCCTGCCTCTTCTCCACACAACTCAACACGCCTGACAGGTGCATCATTCGGTCTTCTACGCACATGACCAAACCACCACATGCGAGACTCCCGCATCTTGTCTTCAATAGGTGCTACTCCCACCCTTTGTCTGATTGTCTCATTTCTCACGTGGTCCTTCCTAGTATGCCCACACATCCAACGCAACATGCGCATCTCTGCCACACTCATCTTTTGGATGTGACATTGTTTCACCGCCCAACACTTTACGCCATACAACAATGCAGGCCTAATTGTTGTGCTATAAAATTTACCCTTCATTCTGATCGGCATACCTCTATCACATAGAAACCCTGAGGCACTCTTCCACTTCATCCACCTTGTTTTGATTCTATGGGATACATCTCCATCTAGCTCACCGTCCTTCTGAATTATGGAGCCCAAGTAACGAAACAATCACTGACCGGTATCTCCTTACCATCTAGAGTAATTCCACTATTACCACTGCTTTTACCTCCACCAAACATGCACTCCATGTACTCTGTCTAGCTCCGACTTAGTCTGAAACCCTTGTTCTCCAATGTTTGTCGCCATACTTCCAA